TCCCGTGATACTGCTGTCTTCAGGGAGTAGGTATTCCTGATCTCTGTAGAGGATATGCGTGAGTTAAATCCGTATCGTCTCTTAAGTACAAATCTTTCTTTATCTGCCATTCTGTTTATTTCCAAATTCATTCCAACATTAAATGGAGCGGATCAAAACTTTCGACTGAGAAAATTTTTACTCTGATACGAAAATTAGTCGTATATTATTATATCATCACTAAAATTCCTTATTGCAGATGATAATTTTGAATGTATTTAGCTTTAAATGTTACAATAAGGAATAGATTTTAAGGTATATAAGTTAACATTATTCTTTTCTATGATATTAACAGTATTAATTTTCAAACAAACGAAACCTGTTGTTGAAACGAAATATTGCGATTAACTAAAAGTTTCCATGTCCTAGAGAAATACTTAATATTAATAACATTTATATTTGAAATATTGCTGACTGTAAAAATTCGTTTGTAAAAAGTATCTTGACTTTGAAACTTACAGCTAAGATGCCTGCCATAAATTATACTGTTTATAAAAATACTTTGTCGTCGTTAAAATCTCAACCCCCGGCTTTTTAATCTCACTACTGATTTTTATATTTTAATCCTACCAGATGAAAGTCTTTTAAATTGTAACAAGATATTTTAATGGAGAAATACAACTTTGCTCTATTTCCGAGCTGTAGTTTACTCCGCGAGGATTTATAAAGTGTTCAACAACTCGTTTTAGTCTAAAGAAAATCAAATTTGTTAAAATAAATGTGGCGTGAGATTAAAAGGAAACTAAAACAGATGAAATATCCTTATATTTCAACTAAAGTGTTAAATGTTGTTAACAAGTGTTAAATGTTGTTAACAAATTATATTGAGTTATTTTAAATTTTAATTACAAATGTCTATGATAATATAATAAAATGATTGTACAGTATTAGAGTTGTCTTTAAAGCTATGAATCAAAACAAAACTAGTATTTTTTCTGTTTGAGATTTATTCTATTTTTAAGTTTTAAATTTCTCGGCAGTTTATTTAACTTAAATTACGTCGTATTTAATGAAATCGAAGATTTTCGGGTGAATTCATTTATGTCGTATTTTATTATTTTCTTAACTAATTCTTCTCTGATTTACTATGTCCCTTATTTTTAAGATTTCCTAAACATCATTACTAAAGGGACATTATTTTTTCAACAACCTATGGGCATACAAACATATGTACGAGTATATAACTTTATAGTCTATCTGGGTGCAATAAACGGACCTACTTCTACGGTATTGCTGCAAAATTGGTACAAACAGAAGCTTTGGTCAATTATGAATGCTATACCTCTTGTGAAATTTAGGTACAATTAAACCATATTAGGATCCTTTTCTTCATATACATACGTATATATCACAAGTAGGCATATAGTTTGAGCACATTATTTCAATATGGGTTTTGGTTCTAAGAATTCTCAGAACCTACTTGTTTTATAGTTATTTAGATAATAATATTTTTATTAAAAAACGAAGAGATTTGTGTACGTATTACATAAAAGGGAAATGGTAAGCTGTAGAAAATATGGTCTCGTAGTGGAAAAGATACATATTTTTTTTGTTTAATTATTTTAGTGTCGTAAAGAGGCTGGAATATTCCAAGTGAATTGTAAAAACTACATAGAATAAAACTATTTGAACGACAAATAGTAATCAAGACAGTTTGAATGACATCCAAGCTATTGAAGCTTTGTAAGGGCTTTATAAAATTAATATGAATGTACTCGATTATCGTGATGTTATCACTCACATTACTTTAAGAAACATTAGACGTAATAAAACTTACAATTCGGAGAAACCATGGAGTGAAAATATGATTTCATTTCAACTGAAAAATGTTTATTTAATGACTGTATCCTTGAGTATAAAAATATTCTTTTTGTTAATGTTATTTTAAATTAAATAGATATAAAAGATAATCTTTTATCTAAAAAATGAAGTAAAATATTAGTAACTTTTTAAATCTCACTATATTTAGACTACTTAAACAATCAAAAAGAAAATTTTATATACTGCATTATTGGATCAAAATATAATTCAGTAACAACGTTTCTTATCAACAAAACTAGATATTGTTGAATAAAAAACAGGGTTTTTAAAGTTTTGTTTTAATATAAGTGACATAATAATATAAATTGACTAATCAGTTATTGAAGAATCGTCTCAGGTTATTATACTATACATACATAGGTTTATTCCAATCAATTTAATACATTTTGAATGCTTTGATTAATTAGGAATAACTAAAATTTATCTGTATAAATATTTAAAGGTTCAGATATGATCAGATAAAGTACACTAAAAATCTCATTACTTAACTCCTAACATAGATTAATGGCCTCGGGGTAGCACCTCATTCGGACAAACACATTCAAATTTAATTAAACCACATTTCTTGTAGCACGTGTGGAATTTAATCACTTATTTCATATGAAATATGTTCCGTTTGAAATATTCGATGTCGCGAAATCTCTGTACGTAGATTGGTAATATAATAATATCGTCATAGGTTTAATGATCATTGTTCAAAATTATACACATATAATGCCTGTGACGAATTGGCAACGATTAACTCAATTTGTTCCCTTCTTTTATCTTTCAAAGTATGATAACTGAATTAAGCCTTTGAAGTAATCTGAATTAAGTCAACGAATTTCAGACCCATATTTATTTTCTTCATTACTGACATTCTCCTAATAAAGTGAAAGGTAACTTATTCTTATGAAACGTATTAATTAAATACATAAATATTGATAGTGTTAACTCATCATACATGATGTTTAATTTTGTAAAAATTCTAAGTAATGAATTAAAGTTCATATATCATTTTTAAAGGTTTGAGCTTTGACCTCCCAATAGCGTCTTTTGGAGTTTCTCAGACCTAGCTTGAACACTTCTTATTTACTATTTATTAATATTAACGATTTTTGCTTGACTGACAGAAATTAATTTATATCGATGAATTAAAAACATCTAAAGTTATTGTCTGTGAATTTGGAAATGAATTCTTTTTTATTATTACAAGTACAAAAATAACGTTTTATTACATATAAAACATAAAAATATAATAAATGCTCAAAGACTCAATTCAGATAAAACCATATATAATATAGTTTTTTAGTCGATGTCAGTTTTTATTAATCGGGCTTTTTATAGAGGCGTTGTCTTTTATAATGTTCTATATTTATCAATATCAAGCAAAATTTTAAAAAACGTATTTAAAACTACTTATATTATTTGGAGATAGATCTAAAAACAAAGAAATTGGTATCCAGAAAAATCATTTTAAGTAAATTATGTATTAAAATAGAAATTTAAACTGTAACCTGATTTGTGGGCAATCCCAAAAATTTACGATTTATTGTCATCAAAACTTTTGCGGTTTTATGAAGACTGTTACCTTCATGAAAAGCGTATTCAATTAACAAAGATTATATTAGTAGTCCATAGTCTGTTTTTTAAGAGCACAAACGTTAAATACTTAATTAAATTTTTAGAAAAAGCTTCAGAAAAACCCAGTACTTATACTTTTAAGCTATAATTTTATAACTCAATTCAGTACCAAGAAATTCCCTAATTTGTTTTTATTGATTTACTGTGTTATCTTTTATTTTATTATTTTAATGAGTTCATTCTTGTTGCTTAACTTGATAAATGTCTATCCTTATTATGCAAAAGAAATTCGGTATTGGAGAATTTATACATTTTATTATTTAAAGGTAAATTAAATTTCAGAATGTCGGTTCTTACCCGATATGATATATAAAACAAGTACGTACTTTTTTCAGTTAATATTTTTTAACTTCCGACACTTAATAAAGGAGCATTATAAGTTTTTCGTCTATGTATGTCTGTGTCTATGTATGTCTAATAAACTCAGTTTTCCACTTGAAAGTCCTTGTGGCAGTTATCAGCTATATGCATCTTCTATATATATAAAAATGGATTGCTGTTCCTTAGTCTCGCTAAAACTCGAGAACAGCTGAACAGATTTATCTTATCTTAGTCTTGAAATGTTCGTGGAGGTTCAGGGAAGGTATAAAAGCTGAAAAAAATTTATTCGTTTCTGGGAAAACTAAAAAAAGAACCCTTTTCTATTTCCCATACAAACGTTTTTTTTGACATTAGATTTGACAACTAACTAATATGTCAATCATTCTGTCGCACTTCAAAGAGAATTATGGCTTACAGGTAAACTCCAAAAATATAAATAAAAAAACGTAATAAATATTTCTTGATTATAGGGCGATACGAAGTTCGCCAGGTCAGCTAGTTTAGTAATAAAAATCCAGCAGTAGAGAGTACCACATCTTTTCAAAGAGAATGATTAAGACATTCTCAATCAAGTGCTTTTCTCATGTCTGTATAATCAGTAAATCCTTAATGAAAGTTCATATGTTGGATTTTACAATTTAAAAATGATTATATTTAATATGTATTGTATGTCATAATATTTAATTAAACACTAATATTTTAATATCTTTAGATGCCCCAACGTTAAATATAAACGATAACTTAATATTTCGAAATATTTCGAAATCCAACACCACAATATCGAAAATGAATTGCATAGCAAAATAACATGTTAATAGTTGATTCCATAAGTGTATTGTATTAGGATCGTTAGTCTTCTTTATTAATACAGCTAGCAAAGTATCCCTAAAATAAATGAACTGGTCAAGTACAAAACTAATTTAAAGAAATATTTTGACAAAAAGCAAAATATTTATTGACAAACTAAAAATTATTATCAATATTTTTAGTTTTTATAGCGATTTTGTTCTCTAAGGGATGATTTTCATGTATTTCAGCAAGTTTTCCTCAAATTTCTCTCCGTCGAGATCAGTGTGTATTGAACAGTCGGAGGGTGAAGACGTCACCACCGGTGCTTTCCCTCCCAAAGTTCGCGATAAAAGAAACTTCGGTTTGACATTTAAATATTGAAATGGGTTTTAAAGAACTTTAATAAGATGAAAATATTCGGGAGGATGATTGACAATGAAGATGATGTTGAAGGTAACATAAAAGTTAATTAAGTCCTTTAGCGCTTTTGATGTTCAAAGAGTTACTTGAAAGAAATCCGGTAATTGATATTTTTATTAAAACCAATTTAAAAGTTTGAGGGAACTTCGGGTTTAATTTTTTATTCCGTGTCTTTTATTTATTTTATTAAACTTTTATAATTTTATCCGCAAGGAATTTTAATAAAAGGTATTATAAAAAATTTAATTTTTAATATTCTTTCTTGAATGAAGTTTGTATTTTCAGCTTTAGATTTATTTATTCACTTATTTTGTTAGAAATTAACTACTTTATCATATTATAAAACGAATATTAATATTGCTTTAATATATTCTCAATATATGTAAAGTCAAGTTGTCTAAAAATTTATTGGTCCAAAAAAAGTATTTAAGGACTAAATGTCTTATCAAACCGTAATCGAGTAAATGTAAGGACAGTAATTATAGTAGATGTAACTCGCATTTAAAAAATACATATTAATAATAAAATTGTCCCAATCGATATACAGCCTTTTACTCATATAAAATAATATCTTTTCTTAATACCTTTAACAAAAATATACTAACGTTTAAACTTAAAAAGATGCAATTTTAATAATTTTTTTTATTTTAAATGTTCGACTTTTACTACATACCTACTAAAATAACTTAATTGAGAGTAATTTAATAATTTTCTATATAAAATTATTTCATCGCATTCCTATAAAAATCCATAAATACCACCACCTACAATACGATAATTAAAATACAAAGCACTTAACTTTATTAGATACAAATAATTGTTCACTAAACTCATTTAAACAAAGTACCAGCTAATAGGTTATTCATGTCAGCTAAACAAAATTTATTGCTAACCGAACTCAATGCACGCTCTAACTTCTAACTGGATGTTTATGTTTCATACATTTTGTTTAATCTAACAATGAAACCAGTGAAATTACGTGAAGCCGTCAATCTGTCCGTATGGCGTAATATGTTAATGTTAATAATTATATATTCCTATTTATTGGTGCGGATTCTAGATACATGTTAACCATACAGTAAATATAACCTGTAGTTGACGTGATTTATATTTATGATACTGGCAAAACTTACTCATGTACTTAATCATCATTTTATGTTTTTATATTATTTATAATTAAAAAAAATTAAATACTTATAGCGTTAATTAAAAATGGTCACAATCCTTATTAAAATTGATAACAAAGGTAAAGTTAAAATTTTATTACAACAAAAACTTAACAGTGTACATTTTTTATTTCCTCAAAGAGGCGGTGACTTAAAAGGGGTCGACACAGTAATGAAATTAATTTTCATAGTATCGTTACTGCAAGAAACTTGGTGTCGAACTTAGGACTTGGGTATATGGAGTGCATAATATGGAGTATAAGATGATGATCTATATTCTATACTGTATAATGGTGATAAATAATATCACGAAAAGATTTGAGATCATTATAATTGAAAGATTTTATTTCAGTTCTAACTAAAACATTATAAAAGTAGTCTTCAAGTACGGAGATAGCTTATATCGTAAAAGTATTTTTGAAATTAAAGAATTGAATATCATGCATCGTAAAGTATTTTAGAGAAAAGGAAAGAAGAACAACCGATTATTACTCAAGTCAGGTTATTATCGGTTTTCAATAATTATTTACAATTACATATAATTATGCTTAACCATCGAGAGATACTTAAAAGAAGGATTGTCCGTGCTCAAAAGGCACACAATAATATATTTTACCAAATTCATTTTCGACCGAGAAGAAATATGCAAAAGTTGTCACCTTGTCATGATTTATTTTGTATAAGATATAACTGCTTCTGAATTCTTCAGTAAGAGATTCAGAAAACATATTTCCAACTTATTCAATCGCAATTTTCATTCCTATTAACTTTTTATATCCCAACATATGATCGGAGTACATAATCTATTTGCAGGCGTCTATATGCGACGATGTCAACATTTCTTCGTGTCATTTTCCATCGAAACGAATTAGTATAGAATTTCCAAGAAACTTATTTAAGTTATATAAAAAAATACTATTGGGATATTTGTCATTATTCTTTAATTTAAACCATTTATTAGTTTAAGGAGATACAAAGAGCAATATTCATACGAAATTATGCACAAATGTATATCTAAACCAGATTTTTTAAACTGTAATATGTTATAACTTGTTCGGATCCACAAGTAATTGTTGATATCACAATAATCTTTATAAACATGACCATAATAGTGTCAAAGATACTTGTGCTCGTGTGATGTAATCTTTAACGGTTCATTGTTTTCCATTTTCAGAAGTTATTATACAGGGGAATGGAACTGTTATCAAGGCTAAAAATCCTTTTTTGTTATTTTAGTGTCGTGCAACTATGTTAGGACCAAGCACGCGAACACGGTTGGTTTTGTTTTATTTATACAAAAATCGATGAAGTTGTTTGTTTTGAAAGGAATTAAGTTAAGAATTATTACCAACTTTTAAGTAAAAAATGCAGTCTTCATATTAACAGAGTGATATATTAAACTAATTAATAGATTAGTTCGATAAAACAAAAAAAATATCATTCTTATAATTACTTATTGCAAGAAAAACAAAATTAAATACTTCAGTAATTTTAATGTGTTTTTCATTTGAACATACAACATACTTGAAAATGTGGTTCGTTTGAAAAATCTTTCTAACAATTATTGTCTAATTTTATATTAACAAGGTGAGTTAATTGTTGGACTGTAATGCTTACTTATTTACTTAATTTTTATTTTGTTTACAAAGTGCCTTTATAAACCACATGTTATATTGAAAATTGGTGGAGAGGTAGCTTAGAAAAAGGTACAGGACTTTGATAAAAAAAATTGAAAATCTTATTTACTGCCCTTAAAGAGGAACAGAGTTCGCCCGCTGGGCAAAAACTAGTATATCATAAATCGTGTCCCTAATATCAATATCCGGGACAAATGTATTCAAATGTTCTTTATTAAATAAATGTACTTAGATTTTATTTCGTGTTTCGGTGTGTTATTGAAAGGCGTTTAAGAAAGGCGCGTTTCAATTAAAATAAAAAAGAAGTAATTATAAAGTGTACATAGTTATAGTGATCATTAATATACAATGACAAGAAGGTTATATTCATTGCCTTAAAATTAGGTCTAATTAAATTGTAATTTTCTGAGATTTTACATATATACATGTAACGAAAACAGTCAGATGTTTGTGATATCAATATTATTAACTAAATGTAAAAAGAAATATATTGATCTTGTAAAAAAGTAGCTTAGATAAAATCGTGAACCACCCATAGCATACTTAATAAGTTAAATAATATCAATAAATCACAGCTCATGCGAATAAATAATGAGCGTAGCAGGTCGTTATCTGTAACTAAATAAATAAAATGTATCATTTGAATAAAATAATAATATAAGAAAGAACTTTCCATTATGTATCGAATTATTCACCAGAAAAATATTTAATAAAACTGCTATATGTACCCTAAATCTTTCATTTAAGGAATGTCAATACATTCTTTGCGTTCAGGCATCGCTGGTTCAGTTTTGTGTTTTATTTCACATTTTTTGATAAGGATTATTTCTATCTCATGCATAAACCATGAACAAATAGAAATATATTAGTTTTTTATAAGAATTATTAAGATTTATAAAGGGATTGTTTATAAGAAATATTATACCATCCTGTCTATGTAACTATGTTGAAAAAACATCTTCATAATACTGAACGAAAACTGTTTCTCGTTAGCTGATGTTAATGAATGTTTAAATTCCGTTGTCTTTACAGAGGAGGAAGGCACAGAGCTAGAACTGGAGGCTCTTTACAGGCGGTATTGCGTGCGTCTCAAACATTCCCTCTTCGTGTCAGCCCTCTTTGTGACGTTACTCTGTTGCATCGTGCTGCTGTGCGCCGTGTGCATATTGAATGCACATGTAAGTATTTTTTTAGACTTTACTTAATATATTCTGTACTGAAAAACCTATTTTAATTGTTAGTAAATTTTAACATACAGCTTGTAATATGAAATTTCAAGGATGTTACAAATAATAACATAAATTATTCATTCATTTAATTTCTTAATTATTACACATATCTTTGAAATTCTTTAGTATACAACAAGATTTAATCGTAATAATACTATTCTTATGTACTCTACGTAACACTTATGAAATTAAGATATCCGTTTACAGAAATTACACTGCCTGCAATATATTTGATACCTAGGTTTCAGGATAACGCGTGCTTTAGTTGTGATAAAGGGTTATGTTGTTTCATGAGATCAAATATAAAATCAATTTGAATTTCATTAGAGTCCATTCTTTTAGCCTGCTGCGAGCCTGTCTTGTCACAGCTGACAGCGTAAATGCCCATCGAATTCAGTGAATATGCACTCGCGTATACTTGCTCATGACACGTAACAAATCAATTTATGCTGACCCAATTTTTATGATAAATTTTTAATCGACCTCAAAAAGTTTCTCGAACTGTATACTACATGTTAGTGAACTTATATTTTAATTTATTTTGTTATTTGTAAAGCATATATGATATAAAATAATACATGAACAACATCTATAACTGGTGTAGTGTATTTAATAAATAGAAATCTCAAATACTCGTGTACCAGCTAAATTTCTTAATTCAAATTACAATACGGAGTCTACTTAGACTAAATATTTAGACTTACTTTTGAATTTCGTTATGGTTTTAAGGCATCTACTTTAGTTTTGTCAATTTATCTACACATACATAGTATAATGATGTTTAAATTCATATCATAGATTTTAAATATACTATTCTATTTGAGTTATTGGCTTTTTCTTATACATATATTTTTCCGACGTCATGTGTGTCAATATAAAAGACTGAAAATATTTTCAAAAGATCCATTCAAAAGCTATCTTTGATATGTTAGTTGTGACGTTTCTATTGAAATATTATTGAAAACAATTTTAAAGTTTCAACTCAAAGAGAACAAATTCTTGATATTTTGTATCAACTTTAGAAGAGTATTTAATATATATCACCGATGCTTTACTTCCACAGAACCATAAAATGAACAGTGGTGTATTATGTTGTTAAAATTCAGGATTGTTATGTAATCTACTTGGTCCCTGTACAGTCCATACCGTTGCATAAACAGCTATATGGTGTTTTAGGATCTATCTGACCTTTGGAAGGCTAATCTTATAAGTAGTAACCGAGTTACCAAGGCCTGAGCTAATGCCTGCATTAAACCCGCACTGCCTTCTGACATTAGTGAGGTATTATTAGTTCAAAGCCGATTTTATGGAAAGTGCACGGGTTAAGTTACAGTAATGTACATCTCTATACATTTAACATGCCTATTCTTTGTATAGTGAGGTTCAGTTCTTTCTTTTGCATTACATTTTTTTATCGGATTAACCCGCTTTCATTTTAAAATAATCTCTTGAGTTATTGTAGCATCTGCAAAAACTTTTCAATTCAGGATCATTATTTATGTTCTCTTTTCGCTCTTGGTGTATATTAACCTTTATAAATGTGTTAATATTATAATGATAATAATGTAAAATGTGCTTTGTATATAATATAAATAAAGATCATTTCAAAATAATATGTATTATATGACTGCTATTTCAACCCGACAGTTAATGTGTCGTGTTACTTAGAAACTTAGTACAATGAAAGTCGTCTAAGTTTATCAGTCTCGACCAGAGATGTGTACCAATATTCAGAGTATGTTCAGTAAAGCTTAATATAATGATGTGTTGTGACTCGACTGAATTAAAATTCAAGTTTCTTTATAGAAAATTTTACTATTTTTTAAAGCTTACACTAAATTTCAGAAGCATTAGAACATACATATATTAGTTTTGAAGAACTCCATTTTGATGAATGTCTAAAAAAATCATTGTTAAATAATTGACAGTAATTATATTTTCCAATTAATTGTACATAGGTTTGTGAAGTATTTTATCTGAAAGTCTAACATAATTGTATTTCTCGTCCGCTCCACAGCTTAACGACTCATATTATGAAAAAAGTTAAGCCACTTCATAAAATACAACGTTATTTTCTCTGTAGCTAACTGAACTTAACATGTGGGGGTTTCAGTATACTATTATTATCAACCACATAATAATAAATGATAATACTGATTACAACTGGCTGGATATATTCATATATTTTAAACATATACTAACGACACAAGCCCTTATAGTCTTCATATAATTCAGTTTATTTAATTATTTCTATTGAACCATTGTGACGATATTTTTTTATAATTACAAATAACAGGTAGCACAATTATCAAGTGTTATGTATGTATAATTGTTTTCGATCGATCGACCTTATTTTACTATGTATAGACTAGTCTACTGTCATTCGAACTATGCAAGTTATGCGTTCTCTATATTTGTAGGTACATATCCTATAATTTATTGAACACCTCTATATATAATCTACTGTACATTAATATATAACAAAGCGAATACTATCTGTGCATCGATGTTTGAACATTTTAAAAGTTGATTTCTTAAATTTATTTAAATATAAAGGCAGCATCAGTTTATATTGAAATAATTTAAGCACAACAAACTCCTGTTATAACAAGATGATAAAGTATTTTCATATTATAAATGATATTCAAATACATTCAATTATAAATTGTTATTATTTTTGTATTTCTTCTGCACTCAGCGTTTCTCCCACGAGTTTGAGTGTTTGAAGATATCTGTTATGTCTGAAATAACAATTTGCCTTATGTAAAAATATTATTTATCTCTTAAGACTTATCGATGTTAAGTTGAAATTCAATAATAATAGGAGCCCTATTGTTGTTAACGATTTTCAACTTTCTAGACAGTACATATTATACATATTTGCGACTTTGTACAGTAACATTTTTTAGTATCAAGTAGAACAAAAAAAAATCTCTCTGTTTATATTCTTAGTAAAAGAAAGATTTTAACTTTTCCGCTCATAAATTAAACTTTCATAAAACGCGTAATATAATATTATAATAAAGCTAAAAAGTTATATAAGTAGCGTTATAATCTTGGCTTAAAATAATTACTAATCTTTCATTTTACATTACAAGCTTGAAATAAGAGCCGGTCAATTAACTGTAAAATAAAAGGGAATTTCAGCCTGAAATTAAGATGTAGGGAAAAGTATAATTAAAATTCAGTACATAATCATGAGATGATTGAAATAGTTCCGTAAATTAAAGACAACAAGAGTGGATTATTATAACAATAGAAGTATGTAGTTGGTAACTGGAATATATTGGTTACAATATTATTTATTGAAACCGAATTGTCGACTCTTTACATAAATAGTTTGCTCTTGAAGACGAGATAAAAGATTATGAATCGGAATCTTATATATTATAACAAGATAATACTAGATATCAGAAATATTAAATTATTTGTTCCAGAGTTTATTTCAATTCTGATTCTCGGTTACAGTTTGCCACCGTAACAGTGTTTCTCATCTTTCTAAAATATTGATTCATTTGAGACAGTTATTGAATTTTAATAATAACTATCTAAATTCATCAAAATAAATTTTATATACTTTATGAAAAGAAATAGAAAATAATTTATATTAAATTATTCATATAAAATTCTTTTTAACTTTCTTTTTTATTTGCCTTATTTGCTAAATTTTCTATCTAAGTTTAAACGCCCCCACCCTTCGTTAAACTGAGAGTCTACTACTTCATGTCGAAATAAAACAATTATTACCTGTTTTCTTGCAAACCACTTAATTTTACTGTAATATGTCTTTTAAAAACAGAAATTTATTATATTGGTATAAAAAATAGTCCAAGATTATTCAATAGTTTAGAAATTGCTAATCCAAACCAAAGATAGATAACGTCTGATAGAGCGAGCGGTACTCAACAATACTAACATTAATACCTATTAATTAAACAAACCTTGAACCAGGATCAAAAACAAAGAGAGTATTAATACCATTGTTAAAACTGTTTGCTTCGAGATGAGCACCGACTTGAGATCTATAGATATATTAACTATAGATATATACATTTCACTATAGAAATAAAATTACTGATATTCAAAAAGTATTAATATCCTTTTCATTCAATAGAAAATAGAAAGATTAAAACCTTTCGTAGCTTCCGCTAATAAGCTTAGAGTTGCATTTATGAAATGGAGGAGCAAATTGCATTTTCACCCACAATGAATTCAAAGGAACCATTAGGTACCATTCATTTCTAAATATATAAAAAGATGTCAATGGTAAAATTGTGAATAAGTTATTTTTTTATTTAATTATTCGATTTTATACAATAGTTAGTACCTAATAGATATATTAGCTAACACACTGATAAACTGTGTCAATTCAAAACTTAGCGTCTTGTATTCGTTTCATAAACACTATTTTAAATTATTTTCATATAAAACAATATTGATGAATTTTAATTCCTTGTAGAACGTAATTTATTTTAAATGTATACCTTCCTTGCTTATTTATTAAAAAAAATACAGTAGGTACGAGAGGTACGAAATTAGCATTCCTTTTATACTTGTAGAAAGTTTTGACCGATCCTAACTTCTGTGACTATCTTTCAGCTTGGGACTGATGTGAGACTACAGCTGAGTGTGTTTCACCAGCTAGTAATGACAGAATGTTATGTCGTTACGACGCTTGACAAATGCTTGTATATTCATTATAATTGGCCCAATATATATGAAAATTTGCGGTCAAGATAAGTAGAGAAAAAAAGAGACTGTGCTAGCATAATTTAATTAAAACCCTTATAAAGTACTAAAGATTTACATAGGTAACTATAATCTAATAGTGGTAAACTTGAATTTGAATGTTAATTTGAACAGATAAGACAAAGCCATGCTGATGACGTATATATGGACAGCAAGTTACAGTTGCTGTTCTAAATAAGAAATATTTTGAAATGACTTTTGCTGCTACCTTTAGTTACTAAAACTTTCAGTTGTAGCTTACAGTCTGCCCGCTCAAATTTACCGTTTCTGACAGCTTGTGACGCAATGGTCGGAACTTAGAATCTGGTACAATTTAATATTTGAAATTCCTTTTTTGTTATTAAAGAACGATAGCATTAAATTTGGAATAATTTCTCTTAGTTACTACAGTAAACGTATTGATTTTGGGCTCAAATTATAAGTACCAAATATTCCTAAAATAATTCTTAAAAGATAAGTTAATTTACTCTGTTATTTTTAAAGGTTATAACGGTTTGTTTTTGTTGTAAAGTGACAAAATGATGAGAAAATCGTAATCGAATATTCTTTTAATCTTGATATAATACATAGATAATATATTAGAAATTTTGTTTACATTTATAATATAACTTTATTATGAATAAATGTACATAATGTTATAATTAACGATACTGAATATTACTTATGTTGTTTATTGTACATCATTAGTCATGACGGACTGACAGGTGTCAGGGACGAAAACTCTGAGTGGCCGGACCATAGTGGGATTAACTGGTACATTATTAATATTACTCCACTTTTTGATTCTATTTGTAAATAGTCTTATTGTGAGTGATGTAACACTATACCTAGTTATTTTCTATAGGGAAAATTCATCGCCGTTGAGTGGCTATCTCGAGATATTTTATCAGATAACTCCAAGAAGAATTTGCTGTCATATTCGAACCGCAGTTGACTATAAATCTATATTTACTTTAATTATTTCTTATTATAAAATTAATTTATCAGTTACAAGGTATTTTTATCAAAATATTTAAATCATCAATAACAACCCCCTACTATCAGCTTGTGCGGAATGTACTTCAAGTTTTACTGCAGTCTTTCAGTTATGCCTGTAGTATCTAAGAATTATGTGAGAGTGGAATAGGTTGAATGAAGATTCTAGTTTTAAAGTTTACTAAACATATCAAGAAAGGATGATTTTCTATTATATAACAACTTGCCATTTCAGTAAAAGAATGGCAGCGTCAGTTTACATTTAAGGTTAGTAACGGAAAATCAGTAATTGGAAGAGAAGGAAAATATAAAAGACAGTTAAGCGTAAAGCAAATGGACGTAGTTCAGTTCATTAGTGATTCTATTTGTATTGACTAACACTGCACTTACTAACACACAAAAGGAATGATTTACACTGACAGTTTATTTCAATTCACAAGGGATGTTACGAAAGATGACAAAAGGCTCAACCGGGTCAAGCGCCGCCGGCTGGCTCTGTCCGGATTAATTGTTTGAAAAATTGAATCCGACAGTTCGGATACAGTTTAGTTGAATGTTTCTATACAATTATTAAACTATTACACAAAGTTAGTTGTACCAGGAAGGCCAATATTTATCAATTACCTATCACGTAACGGATTCTTGTAACAATAACTTAAACATAAAGCATTGAGATTTATCATAAATAAAGATGATTTAATGTTATTTAATTAGTACATTTTTATTAATATTTTATATATATTTATTGTTTTATTTCTTCGTAACGATTAAGCTTGATATATTAGTTTTAATATGCCGGGATTTCAATTACTTTTTTATTGCCTCAAGTGTTTTGTATTGTTCATTAGATTGGAACATAATTGGATTGTTTTCAATATAAAAATATATTTCTGGAAAATAGCACTAAATTTCTCTGGAGTATAATGACTTAATAATTTATTAACCAATTAGCTTCATCATTATCATCATCATCAGCCTATCAGAGCCCTCTGCTGATGAAAACCTTTTCTCACATGAAGAATATTTGAGTATTAATCGCTACGCTTGCTTAATAAACTTGTAGTTTTGAAATTATAAATCCAGGTTTCCTCACGATGTTTTCCTTCACCGTCTGTCAGAGGTGTCTAAATACTCTTAGACTCAAACTCAAATAACTTTATTCAATATAGAAGCATTACACTTTCTTACTGATGGTCACTTGAGACACTACCACCGGTTCGGAAGAGAAAATACCCTGACCTGAGAAGAACCGGCGAAAGAAACTGAGCAAAAGAAATAAAACACCAATCCTTAATATGTATATATTGTTGCAGTCACTACACTCCCAGGCTACAACCATATCCGCCCTGTCAGTGATAACTTTCATACTGACAGTGGTGTTATCCATGGCGCTTCTACCAGCTGCTGCTGAATGGGAGGCGCTGGCGTTGACGGGATCCGTGCTGGTTACTGTATGCCTCGGAGCTGGCACACTGATGGCCACACATCATGCACCGCTGCCGCTGTTTGCACTTATATTGGTAAGTAATCTTCATATATAAAAGAAAGTCGTAAATTTGGTTTATTCATATATTCAAGAACGGCTGCACGGGTTTGGTTGAAAACTTTTGGAGAGACAGCTTAGAATAAGACACGACATAAGATACTTTTCATGATATTGAAAAAGAAAAAAAATTGATATTTAAATCGAAAATCTTCTTATTTACTGTCTTTAATGAGGAATAGAGTCTTCGGTGGTCACCTATACAATTCTAATCCCGAAACTAAGGCAGACGAAGTTGCGGTCAAAAAGTAGTTAATAATATTAATACTGTCAAAATTTATTGAGATGTATCGATGTTAGTTGCTCTTTCAGGCAGAATCAACTTGTTCTAAAAAACATTTGTATTTTGTTTCCACGCGACACGGGTGATAGATGTCGACGACGTATCAATGTTTTAACACACTCGATATTTTTCCATCACAGTCAATTTTCAAATCCACGGGGATAAAGTCACGAGCAAAAAGTCGTTTACATGATAATGGTGCAGCTTCAACCTATGAGAAATAGGAATTTCGGTTGATCTATTAAAAAAGATATTAGCGTCACTTTATAAAATGAGGTTTTAATCACTTTATCTTGAGACATACTTGACTGAACAATCCGTAAAGAAAGAATTTCTTTAAGAATTGCTTGTCTTCTATATAAAGTAATATAAAATGTATGAATTATGAATATATTTTAATATGAATCAAAAATATCCAAACCACCCAATCACTTCATAATTCATATAAAACTGAACAGTAAAATTATAGATGATAATTATTCATAATGAATGCAACGTTTAAAGCATTGTCAATATAATTATGTATGTATTATATAATGCGGGCATCGGATTAAATTAATTTTTAAACTATAACATTTACTGTTGATCTGTGCTCGTTAATTATCCTCAACTCGACAGTTTTAACAATGAAGCTCGGAAAATGTATTTGTTGTTGATGGCCGTTCACGGTTTATTGTTATGTTTGCGGTGAATCGGTATTATTGTATTTATAATATTAAATAAGTTAGCATGGCTTTCACTGAGATTTGGATAAAATAAAAATTACTGTAAAGTCAAAAATATTTATTTACGTAAAGTATTAAGCTCTTCGTAATACAAAAGTCTTGTGTTAATATAACATAACGACACATTTATTCCATATATAAAGAGATACATATTTACAAAGTAAATATCTGTTATTTAAAAGTATCTGTTATTTTTAAATTAGCGAGAAATTTTACATACGCATAAAGTAAAAATGCAATATAGAGTATAATTTTAAAAATCACAAATGTTAGTTCGACATTGTTATAATTTTCGTTTTTAAATAATAAATCTTCAGTTCATTCATAAGTGAAGCGCCAACCACTTACGATCATAATTAATTTACATATAACCGACACCGCTCACCGTCGCAAGACGTCGATGTCTCTTATTTCATGTTATTATGTTAAACGGTTAAATCGTTTTAATTTATACGTGCTGCGAATTGTAACTGACGCGAGGGGAGAATGAAATCAAGTCAAGCATTTAGAGAAAGGAGTTCCCTGGCAGAAAGAAACAGAAAAATGAATAGTACCTATTTAAAATGATTCAACCATCTCAATTCAAGACTACTACTTTTGTATACAAGATGGTTATTTTCAACTTATTTGGGAATAAGATATTCTTAAAAACTGGATCAGAATTGACTTTTTAAAAATAATATTCAATACAAAATCACTATTAATTTATTTAATTATCAAAAAACTAAAAACAATTTTAAATTATTAATTTTCAACTATCTCAATTTAAAATATAATCATAAATACAATCGAAAGATTTAAATACACTTTGAAAAACTACCATTCATTAATCTATCACAGCGACGCACTTTACGAACGAAAAAAGTCCTGATGTCCTCTGACAACTGCTTATATGTCGTTCAAGCCTCTCCTTCCTTCTCATATTCATACATTATATATGTAGGAAGTTAATTATATAAACTAAATATTAAAAGTTAAAACTAATCTATTACATTACATGAGTGTCTTATGAATAAACTTTTACAGTAATAAGTGCAGTGCCCACATCTTATAAAAAAATATTTTATTTCAATTTAAAGTAAGTGTTACTTTATTTTACTAAATCTAAAAATCACTTTTTTAAGTAATTATTCTAATTATTATGGAGATGATATTATCATGTGACTAAAATAATAGTGATCGAGAACATGTTAAATTAAAATTAAATATAAATAACGTGTTTTATGTATAATGATCTTCAAATTGATTAGTATCGGAAGCAAACACAGCATCCTCTCACAAGAATCCAATATCGTTTCGATACATCGTGTTGAGTGAGGGAAATTAAACATTCGCATCCACCAGCAATGTTACATACAACTTAATTGCTTCAATGACTTGTTGCGATCGTCTCAAACATAATTATCAGTTTCTTATACATTTATAACTTTCAATGATGTTAAACAGATATATTGAACATAGGTCTTATATTGAAGGAAAGTTTTACCATTTCATTTTGACTATTTTGATATGGCAAATAAAAAGATCCGATGCATATATAGGGCGTGCCTCACCTTCGCAAGCTGTTTTGCATCCCTGCACATAGCACTTTAGAAAATTATTTGAAACCCTTCGACTAACAAATTCACTATTATTAAACTATGAAAAGAAAAGTTCTTTATGATTTTCTTCTACAATTTTAAGCGCTTTGAAATTTTCTTATATTATTAAAATTTTGGTAGTAATTTCGTTAGCAAAAATGTTATTTTTCATCTAAGAATTATGTAAATTTCTTTAGTTAAGGGAGATATGTACCCAATGTTACAATGAAACAAGATTCTGTTTTGTATATACATATGTAGATGTGAGAGTATATTAGTTGAATATATTAAATTAAAGTAGAATTTACGGAACTGATAATCATCTCAATGAATTATGGAGAGGAGTGTCTTAAGTTGAATTACTTGAAACGCAATAATTAGAGGAAATTTCTGTACACAATAAACAATGGTCTTATTATAAAAGAAAACATCAAATAAATATTGAAATGGAATCGATATGTAAAGCTGTTGAATATATGCATTTAATACTACTAGTGTACATGAAAGGGAACTTTCATTAAATTTGTAATAAATTTCAACATATTAGAATATGTTAAACTCTTACGATATTTATAATTAGAATATATTTACATTACATTTGATTACATAGATTTTTCAATTGAATTCGATTTTTCTTTCAAAATAAAAATAAAATTTTAACTATAAAAATCTAGACGAGTCTCTGAGTATATAAAAACAAGATGTCACCTCAATATTAAGCAGTTTGAAATGTTTTTCTATATTCAGCTCTGCATTAAAATTTCAGACTTATTTTTTTAATAGTAAGCTTAGCTACGATTTTAAGATCAAATTAATTGAAAAGAAATTAAGGTGTATAAATTTATACTCCCGCTACAAAGAGGTAATCGTGTGGACGGTTTTAAGTTTATTTCATGTCTTTATAACATTCTTTTTTTTATAATAGTATATCACATAGTTTATACATATCTGATTCACTTTGAAATAAATCTCAGGTGTATACTTCTGGGTTGAAATAGAATATTCCAGTTATATATTAGAAGCAATCCTTCAAACACCTTACATATTGTTTCTTACTTTTTTTAATTTTCTCATAAACTTGTAGGTTCTCGATGTAGGAGCTAAGAATATTTTTTTTATAATACTCTTTATCAACCTGTTAAAAAAATCGCTCTTTACAATGCCTGTCACTGCAAGCTATATCAAGGTTCGCACACTGGTTCTTTCTGCATTTAATTTTTTCTGTATTAATGCATGTTCGTGGCTCATCTACCTATAACAAAAACAGAGAATAAAAAAGATAAAATTAAATAATCCCCGTCTACCACAATAATGTATTAATACAAATGTTTTATGTTAATATGAAAACCAATTTTAATGCATATATTTGTTATAAAATTCGTAGCGGTGTTCCGTATTAATTAATGTTCAAACTCTTGTCGCCTTAATTTAATCAGAATCTTAATGATATTATCCCCGATGTATGTAAATGTGAACTAATTATGCCTGGTCATACGCTCGCATTTAAACCGTCTCTATCAAAACGTACCCTTCATTTTATTCATTTTACGTAATACATTTAACTTCTAAAAGGTACCCGACGAGAACATAAATAGAAGTGATAAATATATAAGCGTATTAACCTTGAATAATTCAACGTGATATCAGGTTTTTAATACTTATCTTAATATATTATAACCATTGATAACACTATGTATTATTATAATATTCAAAGTTCATGTTAATTTCTTTAATAAATCGTTTTCGTCTTTCTCGTCGTTTTCATCGTTTTCGTCATCCATAGCTTTTAGTGGTCTTATATTTTACACCTCCATGAATGCCGGAACAATATTTGAAAAACATTTGTGTGAAAAAAAAGGACAAAATGTTGCATATACAATTTCTAATAGAATTTAATATTTATCTGAATTATACCGTGGAGGTAGGTACCATGAAACTTAAAAATATATCAAATAAAATAATAAGAACGTTGGGTAATTTTATCTGGGGAAGAGGAAAGGTAAAGAATGGGAAAAGGGAAAGGGCAGAAAATTGTGGGCTTTTCCCACGGCAACCGACAACCGGCTCTCTCGTGAATCGGACGAAACGCAGCCATTAAAGGCTACTTCAAGCCGATCTTCTGTGAGAGAGTTGTACTGACACGTTCGAGTTGCAGTAATTTGACCACCACCTATAAAAATAATTTAATAAAAAAATAATAACACAGGGTAAAACAAATATTTTTATTATACAAATTTATTAGTATTATAATAAAGTAATTAGTATTAGTATTAAAATTAGTATAATAATAAATTTGGTCCATTTCTCTCCTACAGTACTTCTAGACTAGACATAACAAGTTGTTGACGAAGTCTCGTTTCAGAGAAACTACGGTATTATTTTTATTGAT